CATCTTCCTAGAATCATGTGGCTCTTTTGCACCTGCCACATGATCTCAGGAAAAGACACAATTGCTTTCAAGAGTTGCAGCCATGTGCTTCATTCACATCTCCATTCCATGGCCCTAGTAGATGCTAATTAGATTTTCTGGGAAAGGCATTTGACTGATTGGCATGCTGCATTGAAATAGTGGTTTCTTTTCTAGCTGCCTGTCCTAGATCTTTTGGTGGGAGCGCATCTTGTGTGTTAGAAACTCAAGTGTTTTGTATGGGTCTCCCACTAAGTCCATGTTCACTTGCTTTCAGTAGTTTTACTCTCAGATTCGTAAGAAGGCCAGTTGCAGTTCGTTCTATTCTGGTATCTTAGATTTATGAACTTTCAGTTCTAAACAGGGATTTTACATGTTCTGATTAAATGTTTCCTTAAAAATGAGCAAAAGTTGAAAGAAACATTGTAAGAGAGCAGAGCAAAAGTTCAGGAGGAAGCTGTAAAAAGCATTAGCTAGAAACACAAACAACTTTAAAACTGATGTTATTTGCAGATTTGAGGGGAGGGATGGGGGAGTGATATGGTCAGATATGGAGTTGCCCTCTAAGAATTGCTTTCCCTGAGTTGAATGCATAGGTGCATGCTTTTGTGTTATTTTCTTGGTAGAAATTTTCATCTTTTTACTATTCCCTTTTTACCTGGAAATGGAAATTTCTTAGGTTTTTCATGTTATATAGCAGTTTTACATACATCAGCCTATCGATACCAGGGTTAAATGTTGCAGTTTCATTTTGTTTGTCTTCCTTTTAAGGGAAGAAATTTGAATGAGACAACTGGACTCCAGGGAGGAAAGCAATGTATTAAGCTGTGATTTAAATTTATCGTCCATTAAAATCTCTATATGACCTCGCCTTGCCCTATAGTTGCACAAGAAATATATTAGGGAAACTGTGTATGGCTTGTTTGAATGCCATTTGATCAGTTACCCTTGCACCATAAAGGCTAAGAAGTATGACCTAAAACTTCCAGAAGGATAGAATTCATGTCCCAAACTTCAAGGTGTGTTTGATGGAGCTATAGAATTAATTTTAGTGTTGTGATCTAATAGAGCAGAGATAAACTACTTGGTACCGTCCAGAAGTTTTGAACCTGTAATTGGCATACATAATGATCATGAACAGCGAGAGTAGAGGGAGTTATCCGAAGAACATCTGAAGGACTTCATTATGGAGCATCCCTCCAAAATCCTGTATATTTGAATAGAAGCCAAGAAATGTCCTGTTCAACCATTGTTATTTCTTGTTATTGTTTTTTCCATAATAGTAGTTAACTGTAGAAAATTTCTTATCAAGAACTGGATAGAGCCAGTTGGCACAACTCTATCATGATGAAGTAAGCAGTGTTCTAATTATGCTTAACAACTTTTCCCACAAGCAGGTAATGGCTGCGTTTGTGGTTTGTTCAAACAGATTCTGGGTTATTTCTCTTGGGACAAGCCAGAAAAGGAAGCCACAATCCATCTATAGTTTATTACCCATTCCCTGAATCAAAGAAGCACAGACTAGCAAGTTCTTCGCTCATCAGTGAACTTAACAGGGTCATGCAAATCACTTTAGAGTATTTCTTCTCTTTTGGTGATGTTACAGATTGGTTAAATATTATAAACTGAGTTTGTAGCAATTAGATAAATCTCTCCATTACTTCAGATTATAATTTATATTTCCTCCTTTTATTTTCCATTTTTGTTTGCTTCAATTAAAAGTTCTGTCTCTTTGTGGTTATATTGATTTGATTATATTTTGATTCTTGACATTCAGCTTGTAGTTCTGAAGGATGAAATACTTATGAAGTTTCTAAATCTCTTTCTCTTTTTGGAAGTATAATTTTGCGATATTTCTGATCAGCATGTGTAGCTTCCCACTTTAATTATATCTGCGTTTCCATATATGGCACAAATTTTATAAATATATAAAGCTTGCTTGCTGATATTCTTCATAGACTTCTTTCCTTCCTCACTGGAATAAAATCTGAAAAAAATTAGGTTCTGTAATGGAATATTCCCTTTAGTGAATCTGGAATAATGCAGATGTTTCCCCTGTTGCAGACAGAAGTCACTTTATTTTCAGTTCTATGTCCAGTATTTTCCATACTTGCTTATTATTTCATAATGTTTCAGGCTTCATGATGCTGTGGGTCGACCAAATGTCAGAGCGGATAAGGTTTACATCTACTTTGCCCATTGCAACTTAGGTTGATGCAAATCAGCAGTTTTAAACAATAAAACATATGTGGCTCTATTTATGTCTGGTATATTTTTCTGAAGTACTTTAACAAAAGAAGGGAGAGCTGTAGTATTACTCTGCTTCTCTTTCAGGCTCTACCCTTTTTTTTTTTTACAACAAAGGGTAACCTTCACTGTGTTTTCAAAGAAATTGGAAAGACTTAGAGCACGGTCCCACACCTACTTACTCAGAAGTAAGCCCCATTCATTTCAGTAGGGCCTATTTCCAGAGCTAGATTGCAGCCAGAATGAATTAAGACAATATTAATAATCCTAGGTGGCTCATTGAACTGGAGTTCTTTTCTTTTAGGTAATGTATAATAATGTAGGGAAAGCACGCAGTGCATGGCTTCTTTTGTGCCTCTTTGCCAATGGTAATAGGAAGCACCCATGCTTTCTGTATAATGACGGATTCGGTGTGTATGTGCATGCATGCCTGTGTGGACTTTCACCTCATCAACTAATCTGTGTATCTTTGGGTGCATTGGACAGCATAAGACAGGCTGCATGTATTCTGTGTCATGTGACCAGGAGGGAGGCGGTCTTAGAATGGAGTAGCCTGTAGCATTCTGAGCCCCGGGCTCTGCCATTGGGACGCATTGGGAGACTTTTCTGACATGTTTTCTCCAAAGCCCTTGATTGGTCTAGCTCATTTTCACCCTAAGTCTTTCTTTCACCAGTTTCTCCTTCCACACCAAATTTGGTCCTGTTCCATTCTTTTTTCAAAAAGTGATCTTGCTGACCAATGGACAGAGTCCCAAGCCCCTTTACACAATCCCTTTCCTTTGGTTTTCATAGGAAAGAATAAAAGCTGTATGAGTTGTTTCGTTGCTGCAGCCAAGCCACAGTTGTATCTTCTTGGGGCTACTGCTTCTTGCAATAAGAGAAGGTTGTCATCTTAGAAGTTGTTTGTCCATGCCTGAACGTTGCTTGAACTTTCATCATCTGATATTTGCCAGCCGCTGAATGTTTTCCCATTGAAAGTGCTCCTCTTCCAAACATGACACAAATGTTCCACCTGCAGTTGTGAATCGCATTCATGCATCAAGTCTTTGCCATTAAAAAATGTCAGTGAGCATCTGGGAATGAGCCTTTTTTTTTTTTTTACTACTCTCATCCCTAGTGGCATAGAATAAAAAGTTGCAGCACAAAATTTGTGTTCAAAATACTGATATTGAACAAGACCTCCAGTTATTTCTTTATTTCAGCTGTATATATTTCACTTTTCTCATGAGACTTATAAATTGCACACACAAAAGCAGTAAACTCAGAAAAGACAATAAAAATGATAAAAGTGTTAAAGCAGAATAAAAATCAAAAGCAACCCCCCCCCCGCATCCAACATCAATCCATTACAAATGTGAGCATGTGACTAGATGTTAAACTAATTTAGTTACAAAAACTGAAACATTTTGCATTTGATGCACTTTTAATTCTGCAAAATGAATGTTAATGCTCTATGAATGTTAATTGTAACAGGGCAGCCTGAATCTGAAATCTAACAGCTTATAAAGTTAGGGCTCCCAGATACGGGCTGCCAGAATCGATACAGTCATTCAGTGGCAGCAGTGATACAGAAAAATGCTGGAAAACCTCTTTGCTGCCATCTAGTGATCATCCACATTTTTGCAGCCTGGATCCAGTATCCCTAAAAGAAGAGGTAGGTGTGCACACTTAAAGACATTACTGTATGTTATGTGTATTTGGATCTCCCTTTTTGATAGCTATTAGACTATCTTTAAAATAAAAGAGAAGGACATCCAAAGAAAATTCTAATTTCCACCTGAAAGCTAAGTTAAGGGATAGTGTTCTGTATCTTTCAAATTCTATGCTGAGCCTGTTAGAACCTAATACCAGCATTTTCCGCCCAAAAACAAACTTGCAGCAAATAAAGAAATACTAATACTAGCATCAAATGTTTACAGTTCCAATTTGCAATCTGGCTGCAGTAATGTTTACTCTTTCAGTAGGTGGCAGCACTTGGCTGACCTTATCTGTGTTTGGAAGCTAAGCCAGGTTGGACTTGGTTAGCATGTGGACTACTTAGGGAATCCCAGGGCTTTGGGCTAGGTTGAAAGTTGAAAGAACATCGCAGCAGAAAGCAATGATAAACCATTTTTTAAACCATTTTTTTACTGCTGCCAAGAACATTCCATGCATTAACCATGAATCAACTTGAAAGAGGCTTTACCTTTTTGATTTGCCCTAACTGTAGTTTCCAGATCCACTTCAAGAGCAGTTTCATTTTTAATACACTGGAATAGGCTACACTATTGCTATAATGTGGATAAATACGGACAGCCACGTATTTATGAGTTAAATACGTATGCTCATGAGTTAAAGTTGATAAAACGCCCTGTGTGCTACTACTCATGCCACATACTTAACATTTAAACGTATGTTTAAACACCCTTTTTGGATCCAGTTTGCCCAAGTAGCAAATGAATACAATAAAACCATAATGTTGACGGCCAACTGTGTTAAAAAATAATTCAACCAATAGGAACCAGCATTCCTAGAACCAATGAAAAAAACCAGCAAAACAGCAGCATGGCCAGTGAAAAGCTTCAGTTCAATGCCAAGTAAAATACTGTAGTGCTGAGTTACAGATCCAGTGGGCAAGAAGACCCAGTTGATCTAGTATTGCAGTTAAATTATAAACTCAGATCCTTCTTTGTCCTTCCTTCCTTCTCTCCCTCTTTTGATGTTAAGGTTAAACAGTTGTTTACTTTCCCTTGCAGACTCTTCCTATTCGGAACCTCCAGATGTCCAGCAACAACTGAACCACTATCAGTCAGCAGCCTTGGCAAGGAACAATAACAACATTAGCCCCATCCCGCTTTCTGGAGGAGACCAGAAAGCTGAAGCCATCCTTAACTGTGAATTTTGTGAATTCTCTTCTGGTTACATTCAGAGCATTCGGCGTCATTATCGCGACAAACACGGAGGGAAGAAGTTGTTCAAGTGCAAAGACTGTTCATTTTACACAGGCTTTAAGTAAGTCGCTGTATGAGAGAGCTAAGGGTTATCCCTTTGCCAATCAAGCAGTTATTCAATTAATCCAGGCAACTTATAATAGTCTGTGGGAATGACCTTGGGAGACAGGAGGAAGAGCTGCAGCCTAGACAGTAGTCTGATAAGAGAAATCTGAGTCTGAAGGACAGATGGGTGCGGAGAAAGCATCTCAGGAGGGACCCTCCCTAGTTTTCGGGAGAGGAGAGGTACTTTCAGACTTGCAATATTCTGTTACTGTAACCTTACAATACAGGTAGTCCTCACTTAACAACCACAATGGGGACCAGGAAATTGGTTGTTAAGCAGGACAGTCATTAAGCAAGTCACCATGTGACTGGACCTGATTTTATAACCATTTTTACGATGGTCATAAAACTAATCACCACAATTGTAAAGCAAATCACATGGTTGTTAAGCAACTCCAGCTTCCCCAATTCATGTTTTTGCTGGAATTTGCTTAACGACCACGTGATTCGCTTAATGACCATCGTAAGAAGGTCGCAAATCATGATCATGTGACTAGGGGTTGGTGCAACGGTTTATGATGGTTGTAACTATGAGTACAGGTTGTAAAGCACTTTTTCCAAGGCCATCATAACTCAGAACCATCGGTAAATGAACGGTCGTTAAGTGAGGACTACCTGTAAAGATAGTGTTAGTACTCACAGTTGATGCTTCTTGTATGGACTCCCTTGAAGGGCCGACACAACTTATGTCAGTAGACCTACATTCCCTATATTTATGCCCTCTGTGTTGCAACTACAGCTTCCATATCTTGATGTATTCATCTCTTTATCTCCTATTTACACAGTGAGAAAAGAATAGCATGGGGTTATACTAAATATTGCAAACTCACCCACTTATTAGCTGTACTAAGATGTAATAAGGTTCTAGTCTTTGTTGTTGTGGAAAAGTAGGCAAAATATTTGCTGTATTGTACAACCCAATAAATATCTCCTCAGAAGGATATCATGCTGGATTCACCCCTAGATAAGTGACTACAGGATTGCAGTCTCAGTTTTAGAGATGAGTTAAGGGTAACTGTGACCCACACTGCTAGAAATGCCTGAATCTGAGGAATTTCTTCTGAGAACTGTAATTGAATTCATACGTAGAGGACAGCAAAAGTGTGCAAACCCATTTTTGCAAGAAGCATGTACACTTTTGTAAACAACTGCATGGGCTAGTCCTCGCAGATGACATGGTCCTGTACCCAAAAGCCATCACTCTGCAACACCAAAGACTGCAGCTGGGTCATGTAGAAATAGTCTAGGAGCCGCCTGCACTGCGCCTGTGCGTCTGTACCTTCAGTGAAGGTATGTGTGCGTGGGCTGGGAGGGGCTCTGCAAACCCAGCTCCTCCAACAGTGTTTTACCCTTAAAGTTAAAGTTGACATCTGCCCTGAAGGGAGAAGAATTTAGAAACTAGCCTAGGGGGATATAATAGTGGATTCTTATTGACTCTGTAGGGTTCTGCAGTCAGCAAAATCTTCCTTCTCTTAAGTTTTGAAATCCCTAAAAGTTTTACAGCTTTTCAAAAGAAACTTTACAAGTAGTTCCTGGAGTTTTCGGATAAAACTGTGAAAATGGAGTTACATTCTGTTGCGTTGCTGCCAAAGGGTTGTCCTTTTGGAGGAATGATGGGCTATTTAAATAATATGATCCTGCGGTTATTTTGCGTGATCCTAGTTTAGATATGATCTGTGTACAACTTGGGTAGCCTGTACTTTGAAAACAAAATGTTCTGCATCCGATACTATTCTCTGCATAAACACGTGTTGACAACAATGTGAGGTACGTACGCATATCTCAGGGGAATTTGGATGTCCCATTCCACTTGTATGAATGGATTGATATTATGAGTTAATGGATAAGTTTCTGATTTCAGGATAAATTCCTTTATTTCCTTGGAATGCCTTTCCATGGCCACACATGCCTACCCTGTTCTCTTTGGAATATGTGCCAGTTAATCTGTATTTTTGTCTTAAATACATTTGGAATTGGTGCCAGTGTAACATTGATTTACCTACTGAGTATTCAAATGTTCGTTAAAATAACCCTAATTAGGTTTAATCTGTGTTAATATTGGTTAACATAACGTTTAGCTCTACCTGAAAAAAGAGATGATCATTCTGTAGGTTGTTCCCAGCACCATTTAAGAAATCAAGTAAGAATGTGGCTGGGTACATTCACCAACCAAGATATAGTTTGCTTTCATTGTGGTTTGCTGAATAAGCAAAAAGCTAGTTGTACTAAGCCATAAACCGTGGTTTACAAAATAGTGTCTGGGTTGACACAAACCATTATTGTGTAATGTGATGCTGACCTAGCTTTTATTTGTACCAGTTCCTGGGAATGCTAAAACCCAACCTTCCTTAACTAGGAGAGATTTGTCTTGACAAATTTGTACAGCATGCCTCTAAATGTTGATATTTGTGGCTTCTGATGCAAAAGAATATTACTCTCAAAGGTTAATATTACTCGAAAGTCATTTGTCTGAGCCTGTGTACTACTCTCTGTGTTTGTAGATCTGCTTTTACTATGCATGTGGAAGCTGGGCATTCAGCAGTTCCGGAAGAAGGACCCAAAGATCTCCGTTGTCCTCTCTGTCTCTACCACACCAAATATAAACGGAACATGATTGACCATATTGTCCTTCATAGAGGTAAAGAACTTCACAAGTATGTCTCAGTGACCAGCCAAGGTCTTTGTATGTGGCTCCTCATTATTCACTGGAAAATATGGTGCCTAGGAAAGTACAAGAATTGCAGTATCTATCATCAGTTGTTAATTTTCAGCATCTGGATAACAGGGATGGCATAGGCATCTGGCTCAAAGCTCCTTTTTTCGTGTTCTAGATTTTCCTCTGACTATTATTGCTAAAAACCATTCACACAATTTCCCAGAATTTGAGACGGGAAGCATGTGAAAACATAATTTTAAAAAACTGTAAGAAAAGTTCCAAAACTCTCCTCAGAAGCCCAGAAATGAAAGACGACCCCTCACCCATGTACATGCCCTGTCCATTGTGGCTCCCAGCTCCCCAAAAGCTGCTTATTCCTGTGATAAGACAGAAACATGCAAAAGAAAGTATGCTGGTTTGCTGCCATCCGAGCCTCAGTGCTTTCTGAGTTTGTGCTTATGGTGAAGACTGTCATTACAAGCTCTGTAGATGTGTGCATCTCATAAAAATGCTCCTGTGATCCTGTTTCCATATCACCTTAGGCCTAGACTGTCTTTCTGTGCCTGGCCTCAGATCTTACCTGGTCTTTACAGAATTGGAAGCACTGAGCACACTGAGAAAGCAAAATAATATCTGATTCTCTTGGCTACAGATTTATATGCTCTGAAAAGACAGCTGCTTGGAGTCCTCTTGGCTGGGAACCCTGCCCACAGTTATCAGCCTTGATGCTTTGAGATGGTCTGTTGGCTATCAAAACCACATATCCATGTGTTGGGGTGGAATTCTGCTTTATTGCACGCTGAGCAGCGTTCCTCAGCAGGCTAGTGGCACCGAAGCAATGAGAGTAGCATGTGTCATCTCTCCAGGAGAAGATATTTTCCTTTTTGTGTTTCTGTTGCAGCATACATGGTGGCTTGCCACTTCTCCATAAGCTTCTGTTGCTTCTGAGAATTTGAATGGGGGAGGCAGGAAAGCTAGAATTTCTTCTACAGTCACTTTCTGACTGTGGAGGAAAAGCAGATCAATGACTTTCACAGATACCTTTTTGATAGCATCCAAAACAGGGGATCTCTTTGGTGTTCAAAATGCATGTAACAGAACCCTGAGGAAGCAGAAGCTGAGGAAACAGTTGCTGTCAGTTGAGCTTTAGCTCCATGGGAGTTACAGGGCCATGCAGCCAGATCCTGTGGGTCTCCCAAGCTTGCAGAAAGGGTTTTGAAGATTGAAGAGTGGGATTTGGGGAAAGGGGGAAAGTAGGAATATGAACTAGAACCAGTGTTGGACTTTATGTTATGCTTTCTGAAATGCAGATCTTGGCTCATCATAGGTTTCTTTTCTGCTGTTTCTATGTGGAATATGTTGCTGAAGAAACTCTTGAGTTACAAATACGTATGAATGGAGTAAGAGCCAGTTTGGTGTAGAGATTAAAGGCCCCAGGCTAGAAACCAGGAGGCTGTGAATTCCAGTCCTGCTTTAGATATGAAGCTAACTGGCTGACTTTGGGCCATCACACACACTCAGCCTTAGGAAGAAGGCAATAGCAAACCATTTCCAAAAATATCGCCAAGAAAACTTCATGGGCTTGTCCAGGCGTTTTCCAGGAATCAAGTTTGACTCAAAGGCACAAAAGTGAAACTGATAATCCCTGCTTTTTGCTTGTGGAAGATGATCTTTTTAGCTAAAAAATATTCATAATCCCCCTGAAATAAGAGTAGCAAAAAGGCATATTGGCCTGGTGAAGTGAGCTTATTTGCCAGCACCAAGGTCTTCCTTGTGATCCTCCTCTTAACGACCCCCTTCCTGTTTTGGAGATGTGACCAAGTTCCCCCATGGTTTGAAGATATACAGGTGAAACTCGAAAAATTAGAATATTGTGCAAATGTTCATTTATGTCAGTAAGGCAACTCAAAAGGTGAAACCAATATATGAGATAGACGCATTACATGCAAAGCGGTTTGAAGATATACAGGTGAAACTCGAAAAATTAGAATATTGTGCAAATGTTCATTTATGTCAGTAAGGCAACTCAAAAGGTGAAACCAATATATGAGATAGACGCATTACATGCAAAGCGAGATATGTCAAGTCTTATTTTGGTATAATTGTGATGATTGTGGCATACAGCTTATGAAAACCCCAAATTCACAATCTCAGAAAATTAGAATATTACATGACATCAATAACACAAGCAACAGAGACTGTGGAAACTTCACACTGGATTGTGTTATTGATGTCATGTAATATTCTAATTTTCTGAGATTGTGAATTTGGGGTTTTCATAAGCTTGTGTTATTGATGTCATGTAATATTCTAATTTTCTGAGATTGTGAATTTGGGGTTTTCATAAGCTTGTGTTATTGATGTCATGTAATATTCTAATTTTCTGAGATTGTGAATTTGGGGTTTTCATAAGCTTGTGTTATTGATGTCATGTAATATTCTAATTTTCTGAGATTGTGAATTTGGGGTTTTCATAAGCTTGTGTTATTGATGTCATGTAATATTCTAATTTTCTGAGATTGTGAATTTGGGGTTTTCATAAGCTTGTGTTATTGATGTCATGTAATATTCTAATTTTCTGAGATTGTGAATTTGGGGTTTTCATAAGCTTGTGTTATTGATGTCATGTAATATTCTAATTTTCTGAGATTGTGAATTTGGGGTTTTCATAAGCGCTTTGCATGTAATGCGTCTATCTCATATATTGGTTTCACCTTTTGAGTTGCCTTACTGACATAAATGAACATTTGCACGATATTCTAATTTTTCGAGTTTCACCTGTATGTGTGCTTGCAGAATGGGTTTGGGACATTTTATTTATTCATATATGGCAGTTTTATATTTCTCAACTCTCAAGGCTCTGGGCAGTTAAAACTATAACTTATAGTTAAGCGAGGCATAAAAATCTAAAAAAAAAAAAAACCCTGAATAAAATCAGTGTAATATCAACAGCAGGGGAAAAAGGTGTCCTAGGTTTCACTTGGTTTTGGCTAATTATTTAGTAAATGTCATTCATCAGAGTAAAAAAAAATAAATATGAAGGATATTTTAAGCTAAGTAAGTCTTTACATGGAAGTCACTAGCAGTTGTGTTCTGTGCTGTATTGTTATATTAGCATTACAGAATCATGATCCTGGCAGATTTAGATGCAGATGCACTTGAAATATTATGAAGGATCAGCATACTATTTCCCTTTGTATTATAAAACCTCCTGAAAAACTTTCTTTTACTAATCATTGTATTCGGTGTGAGAACTAATTAGCAGACTGACATTATAAGCAAATAACAGAAAGTAATATCCAACATCAGTTTATGGTATAGTGTCGATCAGTACTTGTCGTAACTTGGGAAAAACTGATGTCATAACACTTAAGTGTTGTAGAGTCCCTACAAGTCTGAATCCATGTTGTAAAGCATGTTTCTAGCCATTTGCCAGTTCTTTGTAAACTGTAGTAAAGTTGGAGGTAGCTAATTTAGGTTCTGAGATTTTGTAAGATATTTTGCTTTTTTTTTTTCCCCGTGTCTGTTTCTGCGTTAGATTCATTTCCCAGTACAGATTGCCTCCTCCAAAAATCTCTTCCTACGAAGTCTTTTAGATGCCAAAATGATTCCCTAGTCTATGGGCTGGATGTCTGATAGACCCTCTGGATTCTAATTTTTCTGTCAGCTCTAACATTTGTTTTACTCAAATTAACTTTTTCTTGGGCAGTGTTGGGCTTCAGGGTTTAGTGACCATGATCACTAAATCCTGAAGCCCAGTGCTGCCCAACAGATACCAGCTGTGAAAGCCTATACCAGCATCATAACTTTTTCTTCTTTTGCCCCCAGCAAAGCCATGTTTGATTGAATATTTGAAGTTTTAGTTACAAACATTTCCCAGACACTAGCACTCATGATAACAACTTCATCTGGAATTCAGACAGGAAGCGTGCTCAGAAGCATACCCATTTTTTCAAGGAAATGGCAAACATCATTCAGATGGCATCACCAAACAACAAGTATTGACTGTTGTTTGGTGTGAAATTCGTTATTGCCTGATGTTCAGATTTTGTCAGCAAAACCGAAGGTTTACTGGATCTGATTTGCTTTTTTTGTTTGTTTGTTTTGCTCTGACAATCTGGGATTTCTGGCTCATGTGTCATTTACAAGATACAAGGAATGCTTAGGTTTTGTTGCAGTCTACGTGACGTTAGGCAAGTGGTTCCCAATTTCTAGTGGTTCCACTAGAGTCCTTCAGGAAATCCAAGGGTGCCTACATATGTTTATGGCTGAAATCTCAGAAGATTGTTAAATCTTGCAAGATTTAGGTATTTTCACCCACAATCACATGTATTAGGTAATCTCCCAGGATTTCAAACCCTGAAGTTTTGGAAGTAGGGAGAGAGGAAAAATGGCCATAGCACTTGAGGGTCATATTCTCTTTTCTTTCTTGGTTTTAGAATAGCTGCCTTCCGGTGGAAATCATAAACAGTTATGAGTTGAAATATGTGCCAGAAAAATTTGGTAGGTGGGGCTTGGGAATAGAATGCATACCTTCCGTTTCCATTCAGATCCAATTAAGATACGATGTAGAATTTCCGATGAAGCTTAGGAAGTTTTATAGTCAGAGTTTAGGGATGCGTGGGGAGGCAAACAAGGATCTCATAGAAAAGGTTACAGTCTGTTTCTCATTAAACAGGATGTTATCAGTCTGCCTAAGCCAGTACCGAGCTGCTTGATTCAGTCATTCAACTGGAACACCAACCTAAGCGTGGTTTCAACTTATCTCATAGGGGCCTAGTGGGAGTGGGATTCTGCGTACTTTACAAAGCTTTGTGGGGCGATTTTTAAAGTAGTTGTTGCATGGTTGCAGTGGTGGTAAGGAATTACTTCTGGCTTGTAAACGAGCGTGCTTTTCCTAACAAACTAACCTCTTGGAATCCTTTGGCACACTTATCCTCAGTGCTGTAGAAATGCTAATCCTCAGCCAAAGGTTAAAGCTTTTTCATTTAGTCCAGATAATGTAATTAGCTGGCACCTCCTCATAAATAATTTTATCCGGTCTTTGAATAAATGCCCTGACATTTTTCCAGTACTTCATGCAGTTTACCAAATAAAATATGCCTGAGGCCTTTAATTTTTTTTTTTTTTAAATCTCTGTGTTACTATTTCACATTGGCCAGCAGAAGAAAAATGATGGTTATTTAAAGGTGTGAGGACTTTTTTCCCCTCACCTGCTGTTGCTTTTTTTTCCCCCAGGGACACTTACTGTGCTGGGCATCAGTGCTTTGATTTTTCAAAGATTAGGTGAAGATAATAATTTCAGCATTATTTGAGGCAAACCTAACTACGTATTTACCATTGAAAATTTCTTAATATTGTTTTTCTCCACCCAAATTAAATTCACAGGAACAATTCCTATGCAGGTGTAGACGACAAATAAGAAATTCAGATTACACAGATCATAATCTGAAAACAAAGGTGCATTTGACAGCGGACTAAGAACTCTCTGATTTAAGGACTGCAATTGCACAAGGAAAAGCCCCATGCATTCCGTTTTAACCCAGTTCAGACAGTTATAGAGCGAGCTCTGCAGTCACTGTGGCAAGGAGGAGCAAACATACAACCCTCTTCTCTTCCGTGCACAGAAAATGCATTGTGTGAATCACTTATGTCATGCTCTGATTCAGGCTGATCTTACCCTGGGAGAGAGCACAGAAAGATGGACCTAGAGTGCTTGTGTCACACGTGACATGAGGTGTGATGATGGGACAAACCAAGCACCCGTCCTGTCTGCTGCCCAGTAAATGTTTGATCTGGCCCTTTGTGAATTACAATTAGTCTCTTTAAACCAGTGTTGTCCAAACTTGGCCACTTTAAGATGAGTGGACTTCAAAACCCAGAATTCCCCATCCAGCCATTCTGGCTGGGGAATTCTGGGAGTTGAAGTCCACTCATCTTAAAGTGGCCAAGTTTGGACAACACTGATTTAAACCCTTCCTGTAAGCTCCATTCTGGCTGGGGAATTCTGGGAGTTGAAGTCCACTCATCTTAAAGTGGCCAAGTTTGGACAACACTGATTTAAACCCTTCCTGTAAGCTCCATTCTGGCTGGGGAATTCTGGGAGTTGAAGTCCACTCATCTTAAAGTGGCCAAGTTTGGACAACACTGATTTAAACCCTTCCTGTAAGCTACTTCTCAGACAACTGATTATCTGCATAGATGCCATGGTTCCATAGGAGATAGTATGCTGGGACATGACATTTTTGAAAAAATGCTGCTGCCTGACTATAAACTCTCACACTATTTGGGACTGCAGCACGATCCAATAATACCTTCTTTATCCGGCTTCTTTCAAAAGATGAACATCATTCGCCGTCTTTTCCACTGGGCGTGCCTGGTAGCCTGCTCGCCTGTGTATTTGCTTATTTGCTTGTTTATTTTATCCCAATGCTTGTCCTAGAACTAGTTTGCATAACTATTAAACTTTTAAGCATTTTCCTACGAGTTTCAACTTTCACTTCTTCCAAGCAGCAGCACGATTCAAACCAATTAAAGCACACTCATTTTTTCATTGTATGAAATGCCTCTATTTTGTCTTAGGAGTTGCACACACTTTTTTTCTTTTTCTTTTGTCTTTTTTGATACCGAAAACGTGAGAAACAGATGCACGTTCTTGAGAATAAGCAGCAAGAATTATTTGCTGTGTATTTTTTCTGCAGCTCTCCACATCCTTCCACCAAACAGGGAGGAGGAAAGGAAAGGGAAGTTCTGTTGTGCGAGCGGAAATTCACTTGCGTGAAATTGGTTGGTTTCAAAGTGTCCTTCTGCTTGCTGGTTCTTTTGAAGCTCATTCTAAGTAGTTGCTCTTCATCTTGATACCTACAATGGGGATTTCTGAAACACCTTAAAGATGATAACACATTTCCCCATTTGATCAGATGCCTGAAGGGTTATCTTCAGTTGACAAATATACACAGATGAAGAAGTAGAGGGGAAAAGCTTGTGTTGAGAATGATCAAGGAACAATGGAATGCAAAAAATAAAATCTGACAAATTTGAGTAGATCATTTTATGCAAAAAGAAAAAAGCACAGTAACCACTCATTGCAACAATAATTGACGATATAAATTCTTAACATTGCTAACCAAACATCTGTTATAGGATAGAAGCTGTTGCCCTTGTTCTGTCCATATAAATAAAGTCAAATTTTATTATTTCTGATTCAGCTGCTATGTACTAACATCCAGTTTCAAGTTCTTCAGCTGGAGAATAATAGCTTTCAGGCTAGCAATAGTATGTAACAGAAGTAGAAATGTTCTCCTACAACAACTTTAAAGTCAAATGTAACCAGTTAATATGTTTATTGCTTCACTTTGCTCTGCTACTCCCCATCTCTTTTTTAGACAAATGGAACCAGCAGCATTTGGGAACACTTCCCGTTTTTCAGGGCTGTCTTTTGGGAATCAAGGCTAGAACCAAAAAAAAAAAAAGTGAATAGTCTTTGAATTACCTATTCTATCTCTCATGAAGGAATTGGCTTTAAGATTCATTAACTAACTGGGTAATCTGATGCATGTCTACTCAGAAGTAACAAGTTCAGTGAAATTTACTCCCAAGGTTACAGCCTGGGCATATTTGCAAAACAAGAACTGTATCTTATTTCACGTGGCCGTCATGGGAATGGGATAAGAAAATGGGTAAAGCGTGGAGTTTGTATGACAAACACTACAAAAATAAGTGGATAGCTTTGACAGACATTATGGAGGAAGAGTAAAATGGCACTGAAGTGACCATCCCTGGGCATGCCCAAGCATCTGGAGAAATAGCAGTGCGCTGTCCTTGTTAATGGCCCTTCTCCTACCATCTCTTTTTGCCCAATAGAAGAGCGAGTGGTCCCCATAGAAGTATGCCGTTCCAAGCTGTCCAAATATTTGCAGGGAGTTGTTTTCCGCTGTGACAAGTGCACCTTCACCTGTTCCAGCGATGAGAGTCTGCAGCAGCACATAGAGAAGCACAATGAGCTGAGACCTTACAAATGCCAGCTCTGCTACTATGAGACCAAGCACACGGATGAGCTCGATGCGCACCTTCGAGAGGAGCATAAGGTGAGTGGCTGCTTCTACTCACGTGCCTTCAGGAAAAAAGCTTTCTCCTTACTTGAGACCAATTTTAATTGGCCAGCATCTTCTAAAGGACATCGTTTTCCCATAGTTAAGGGAGTCATTGCCACACAGTTCAGGTGCTAGGCTCTGGGCTTTTAAAATGGTATTAGAGGTAAAGAAATAGAGAAGAAAAATCTATCAGGAATTGTTAGGCAAAAGAAGTACAACCTGCAGTTAAGTGTTGCACTGGGGAGACCTCATTCCATTTCCCTCATCTTGGTTTTCTGAGTTTACACTCCAGTCAGCATTCTAGGTCAGTGGAGCTGATTAATACCTCGTTGAACTTTTCCTTTTTGGTTTTTAAAAAAATCTTCTGCCCTCTTTTTTTCCCCAAACAAATGTTTCCCTTCTATAAAAAGTTGAGCCTGAGTGAATTTTACTCTCTGCTGAAAGTGCATCTTTACTCAGTAAATTTGCTCTTAATTTATGGCAGGTGCATGCAGAAAATAGATTGGCATAAATCAATCACGGTTTTCTGATTACCAGTTGTTTAACAGCAACAACTCCAGAAAAAGTTCCCCTCCTGTTCTAAATTGGGCTGCTGTGATAAAATAAGCTTGGATGGAAAACCAAGAATAGATTCTTGCATAACTTGACCGTGTGCTAGTTTCTAATACAAAGGAACAAATTCTGTTGCTGAGCGTCTTGAGTGTTGGCTTTATTCTTCACATTCAAATGTAGGAGCTTCCTGAGTCACCGGTGTGCATCTGATTCAGATGATGAGCTTCCAGGAATTCTAACTAAAAAAGGTTCTTTTAAATAGTAGAAAAGGCAAAAGATGGAAAGCCTAAACTCTCAGCCACTATGATTCATCAGATGACAAGATGGAGCCTCTTCTTTTCAGAAGCTCTCTGCCTCTGAATGGTAGAAGAAGACAGGCAGTCAGGATGAGCTCTGGCATGCCATTGCAAGCAGCGGACAGTTATAAGGGTCTGTGCACATGTTTGTTTAATTCTACGCTCATTAAGATACAAAGTGAAATACAAAATTCCAGATGGTTACATGATATATGATAGAGGAGGGTGTTCTGTATTCACCATCCTTGTCCAAGCTGTCCTGCCAATGTTTTGTTAGCAGGTGTTTCATCCCGGAGTGTCACAACATTTGGCTGGCAAAATGTATAACTTGAGTTCTGTTATAAAGCATGCAGCAAATGGCCTCACTGCAAAATTAATTGTACAGAGGACTACATTCATTCCTATCTGACCCTATAATAATGATGTAGGACTACATCAAATACATTCTGCTTAATTAAATAATTTGTGGAGTGAGGAGGAGGATGATTCAAACTGGTCAAACTGTGGTTGATAGTTTTTCCCCCCCTCCTCCTGCCAGAATCATCCAGTGACTAGATTGAAGGATGGTCTCTTTAGTTCTCATGCCTTGTTCTTTCTCAAGGTATGTGCAGGGCCCCACGTTTTCACCATTCCCTCCCCATGATGGCTGTGTAGGGTGAAGAGTCAGCCACATTGTAAGAGGCAGAGGTATTGGTTGTACTGACATGAGGAATAAGAGGCACCCTTGGAAATCCAGTCATTATGCACAGTGTTTAATTCATTGATCAATCAATCTGGGGAGGTCTACATACCCTCTCAGTTTGCTCAATATCTTGACTGTGCTACAACATGGAAAATCAGAATGTGCATGTCCCCTTCCTGCTCCATCCTAGAGAAAGCTATCAGTGGTGTGTGTTTGTTTACAGAATTTATAGGGCTGCCCAACTCAAACGCTGCAACTCTGGGTGGCATACAGTAGTCCCCAAAATCAAAACAAGATGAACACTTTTAATTAAAATTCAAGTGATTAATAGGCAGCCAGAAACTTGCATTCATACCTCACTCCAAAAGGGAACTCCAGTCATCCCAGCCCCAAAGTCCAAGGAGAAAACACTTTTTTACTGCCTTTCTGAAGGCCAACAGGGTTGAGGCCAACTGTATCTTAGGGGCAAATTGTTCCAGAGGGCATTGTTTCTCTTATCTCTGTCTTCTTTCATCAGCACTTTCATCTTTTCTAGAAAGGACAAAAGTAAGCCCTGCCAGAAGAAACCATCTGTCTTTGTTATTTAACATTTTTCAGATCTTCAAATCTTTGCTTTGTTCCTTTGGAGAAGATTCCCTGTTGTTGAATAGTAAGAAGAGTATTGATCTATGGAATTTCAAGCATACATAGCGTATCCCAGCCTTCCTCAACCTGTTGCTTCTATACAAGGCCATGCAGTGATTGGACTCAATTCCCTAAGGTGCTCCCAAGCATATTGAAGCATCTGGGTGCCCTCTCTGGCTGCCATGTGCTCCCAGGAAAACAAGCAACTGCCTTAAAGAGTTGCAGTCAGTGCAGTTTTGCAAAAACACTGTATTGTTTTCTTCCCCAAAGGTGAGTCGCAATTTTGAGCTGGTTGGACGGGTTAACTTAGATCAGTTGGAACAAATGAAAGGAAAAGAGGAGAGCTCCAGCAGTGATGAGGAAGAAAAGGACGAGGAGATGAGCCCCAAGACAGAAGAGAGAGGTCAGTGTTGTGGTTGTCTTGCTTAATTTTCCATCCAGCAGTCCCAGTGAGAAACACTTGAAAGCTTCCAGTCTTACTAAGATGCAAACTGACTTGCCTCTCCTCCAAACAGGAGCCTGTTCAAAGGACAGTTTGTTCAGGCAACCTTTACAGTCAGTCCATCATTCCAAGAATACATCATCATGTTTTTTGCGACAGTCCAGGTATAATATATCCCAAATTCCTTATAAATAGATGTCAGATTTGAGGAGTTTAATTAAACATTCACATCTTTGAAGCTTAACTTCCCCCCATGGATCTGGTCTTTTGTAGTAGTAATATTTCAACAAAAAGAAACTACGAGTGGGCACAACCACAATATATGTCCTAATGTACCTGTGTTTCTTAAACAATTATTAATTCCATGCAAATGCCTGGGGGGAAATATGTTTGTGTAACACCAGAAAGATGATGTTGATACCAGGTGAGCTTTATTTGTGAGAAAAAAAGGGAAAACAAGGGGCTGTGACTGAGGACATTGTCTAAAGGACTTGCTATCTGTCTGTTATGTCTTCTTTTCACCTGAAGCATGCCCATTTCTGCAGCTTCCTACACTGCTGATTTCTGTAAATAAAGAATTTGATAATCTCCAAGAGCAGGCAGGCAAAGTGAAACCACAACCTGATTCACTGGGATTTCACATATGCCAATTCATTTACGTTTGCAACGCCAACATAAGGGAATCCATTGTCAATAATAACAATATCATCCTTGTCTTGTTACGTTCCAGTCTTAGCTAATCTTGACTAATAGCCATTGATAGACCTGTTCTCCATAAACACAAGTCTCAATATTTATTTATTTTTATTTCATTTTATATGGCTACCCATCTCATATGCATGACTCTGGGCGGTTAACAAAAACAGAATACAAACATAATAAACAACAGAGATTAAAAACAATAGAAATAGCATAAAATAGCATAGCAATCGAGAGCGCTCACTTAACACAACTATGACCAAGAAATGGGCTCAGCCATACTATCAGGGCCCCAAGGCTTGATGGCAAAACCAGATTTTCAGTGCTCTACGACACTGGGTTGGGTCAAGTTTAATCTCTGGGGGAACAATGTTCCAGAGAATGGACACCATGGTAGAAAAGGCTTTCTTCCTGAGCCCCACCAGATGGCACTTTCTCATGGACAGGACCTGGAACATGCCTCTCCTGTTAGATCTCCACAAGATGGGTAGACACCACTGGGGAGAGATAGTCCTGTAGGTAGCCCATCCCACCCCCAAGACATAAAGAGCTTTAAAAGATAACCATTAACACCTTGAATTGCACCTGGAAGCATGCTGGTAGCCAGTGCAGCTTGCAGAGCAGAGGTGTCACATGTGCTGAATGACTGGCACCATAATTGGCTGTGCTGCCACATTTTGCACCAGCTAAAGCTTCTGAATACTCTTCAAGGGCAGCCCCATGTAGAGTGCATTGCAGTAATCCAAGTGGGAGGTGACTAAGGCATGAGTGACTGTGAGCAGGGCCTCCCAGTCCAGAAACAGGTGCAGCTGATGCACAACATGAAGCTATGCAAAGGACCTCCTGGCCATGGCTGCCACCTGCTCTTCGAATAGGAACTGCAAGTTCAGGAAGACCCTCAAATTGCACACAGGATCTGTCTGGGGTAGTGCAATCCCATCCAGAACAAGAGATGGGAAGTCCCCAGAACCAGGGGGTCCTAAAACCCGAAGCCACTCAGTCTTACTAGGGTTGAGCTGAAGCCTGTGGTTCCAATATTACTCACATTATCTCTTTTATAAAGATTTTCCAGTACTGTGCCCTTCATAAAACTCTGAATTAGAGAAAGCTCGAGAACACCAGGAAAAATAAATTGTAAAATGATGGAGCTATATCTACTCAGAGTTTATTTTTAACAACAAAATTTGTGTGTAAAACTGCAGCCAGCCTTCCCCTTTCGCTCCAAAAATTTGCTTATTTTGAGGACCAAACTGTGAAGCAGAGAAAGATTGACATTTGGGGAAATTAAAAAAAAATTAACCTCAAAAGAACAAGAAGTCTTCTTTTTAAAAAAAAAAAAAAAAACTGCTTGAGGATAGTTTAAATTGGCCTGGCTTGGATTTCTGAGGATTGTAGTCCAATATCCTCTGGAACAAAAACTGGTTTAAACAATCTATGTGTTTGGGAAAGTCTTGGGAAGAAGTTGACAGTGTTTCTTCCAGTCCAAAAAAACCTGCCGAGAAAGAAGGGCATACAATGTATGTGTATGAGATCACACAGAAAAGCAAAAGAGAGATTGTCAGTGGGTTAGGTGGGCTCCTGAGTTGTGTACAGTATTAAAAAAAAAAGTGGAAATGAGGCAAGCTGAGATCAGCAGTAAATGAAGCAAAATCGAAATGTTTTTCATTATGTACTTTGAGAGGACTCTGGGAAGCAAAAGACATTGGCATTCTGTTGTTCTTTTTACTCAGGATAATCCCCACTACAGAATTAATGCTTGGAGCAGATGGTACTGTCTCATTTTCAGTGAAAAGAATCAAACAAGATAGTCCAAGTAATTATTTTTAATGGCCTGTGTGGCAATCGTCTTAATTTTGTGAGAAAACATTTCATCTTTTGTTTGGCAGACAGCTCTCTTGTTCACACTGGTCCCGCGTTTCAGCCCAGAGGAATGTCCACTGTGATTTCAGGGTCTTGGGAATGCTCCATTATATTCTGCAGAACAACATCCAGCCAAAGCTTTAGCCCATAATTAGTGCTTCTCCCGTTAGAATCAGTGGGAAATATTTGGCTAGTCTACGCTTGAAGTGTTGATTGGCAGGGCATTCTCAGATTAATAAATGCTTTTATTGAGTGTTATCCTCTACAAGGAATGCCTTCCATATAGGTGGAGATCCCATGGCCGCAAGGCTATGGCTCTGATCCATCACTGACCTGTGGCGTAAACGTCATCCATTTCAGTGGAATCAAATTGCAGTCTGTAATTCAGAGCAAGACTACCTGCCCCTTCCTTTCCAGTGAAAAAAGGATGCTCGCAGAACACTAGAACCTATTTGGTTTTCCTAAATGTACAAGTAAATTTAGCCCCAATGAACTCATGAAAATCATATTTTTCTGAGTGTCTCTTCAATCATGATAACAATAGGTTCATTCACAAGTAACATTAAGTCAGTAGTGTTGGCTTATTTGATTTGCTGTGAACCAGCATCTATTTTTCACAAGACAAAGATGTCAACTGTTAGGCGCTTTCTGTATTTTTGTATATTCTGTGCCTGGATCATTGTAATGTACAAAGCAATTCATACAAGTGGAAAGAGTTATCTTTAGAGAACTTTAATTTCCATATAAAATAACAATCCCAGAGGTTATGAGGGATCAGCTAACGATAGTTAAAGTAGTTGAGCTATGACAGTGAAATCATGCCTTTAGAACCTAGAATTATTTTCAAGAGTATTAAGTTAAAGGATGACTTAGAACAATGACACAGATACAATGGATAATGTACAGTGGTGCCTTGTACAGCGGTCTACAAATATGTAGCTTTGGATCATGTTCCTCAATGAACATATAATGTTTTTGACTCATTTGTTTAATTGGGTTTTCTGTATCTAGTTTTAGGACTTGTGTGGAGAACAGATCACATTTTAAGTCATATTTGTGCAGAAATATTGAATATTCAAAAGAGTTTGCAACTTTTAAGCACCACTGTAGATATAAAGAGTGGAAGACAAGACTGGTAAATCTGAAACGTTCTATTCATGAAATGAAATGTTACCATTTCTCAAATACCATTAAACAAAATCTGGCCTCTCCATATATGCCTCAAAGAGAACTGCAGTGCTCACATTCTTTGCTAAAAGAAAATGTCCATCTATCGGGATATTGGATTCCCATCTCAGAATCCTTTTTAAGAAAATTTTGTGATGTGTATTACGTTGGACTTCAACACTAATTTCACTTTCTGCCTTCTGCCTCCTTAATAGAACTTTGGCTTATATTTAAGATTAATATGTGTGTATGTGCTTCTTTTCCTCCAAGGGGCCATGAGGTTTTCAGAACATGGTCCTCCTGAAAAACGCTTCCCTTGTGAATTTTGTGGGCGAACATTTTCTGAAGGCTCTGAATGGGAACGACATGTACTGAGACATGGCATGTAAGTGGATCCAGAACCTACCACTCCTTACAATCAAAGGGAAGAATAGTGCTTTTCCCCAGTGCATATTATGAAGCAAATAATACAAACAAAACATCTTTATTGTCAGCCAGTTAGACAAAGATAAATTAATGCTGACTGTGGGTTTCTGAAATCAGGTTGGATTCTGACCATAAAATAATGATTCAAGTTGTTGATGAGGTATACAGGTAAAAGCAAGGATCGGTCAGAAGAAACCAAAAAAGGAACAGAGATGGCCAGAACAATGGAAATTGACTGCAGGACCAGAAAACATGAAAAAAAGGAGAATTTTGAGAGGATGTTCACAATTTTCTCCCTACTCTTCCCAAATTTGGGACTACCACTTTATCACCGCTCATGGATACCAGGTTAAGAGAGGTTCAGTAGAATTTTTGGGCAGGAGAATCGTAGAACCTTTGAGTTGGAAGAGGCCATTTAAGCTAATGAGTCCAATCCCTCCCCGAGTGCAGGTACCCAAGTTAAAGAATCCCCACCTGATGGCTGTCTAGCGGCTGCTTTAATGCATCTAGCAAAGGAGAACCTCTCAGGATAAATATTCCTGCTATTGAATTGTTCTTACAGTTAGTTCTTTTTGGAATCTGCCTTCTGGTAATTTCAGTCCATAATTCTGTCTCCTGCAGAATGACAGAGAAGAGGTCTTAAACTTCTTCTAGGTGATGTCCTTTCAAGCATTTGAAGATTCCAGTTGTTTCCTCCTTAGTCTTCTCTTTTCAAGACTACACATACCCTTTTCTTCATAATATTTAGTTTCTATTTTCCTAATCATTACTGTTCTCCTTCTCGGAACCTGAAGCAGAACTAGGCACAATGTTCAAGGTCGTGTCTGACCAATCCAGCATTAAGAGGAACAATTACTTTCCATGATTTGGAAACTAGATTTCTGCCTTTTTTGCCAGCAGATCACACTGCTGGCTCATATTCAAGTAGCAATCAACTACTGTTCCCAGATCTTTTTAGCAAGTATTTTTACCTAACAAGTTTATTCCCCATCCTATACCCATGTATTTGATTTCTATCTTCTAAGTGAAGAACTTTACACCTGGCTATCAACAGTGGTTTTATTTTTTTCTGTGCCTTCTTGCGTAGTAGCTCCCCTACCCATTTTTGTGTCTTCTGCAGATTCAATAAATATTCCCTCTTCATCCAAATCATTGATAAAAATATTGAAGAATATGAGGTCCAGAACTGAGCCTTGCAACTCTCCACTTGACCATCAAGGAGCAATTGAGGGAACAGTCTTTGAAAACAGGCATTGAGCCAGCTGCATTTCTACTTGATTGTCATGCCATCCAGCCCACACTTAACTAACATAATGATCAGAATGTCCTGGAGTATTCTGTCAAATGTTTTGTTGAAATCAAGATGCATTACTTGGATTATATGACCTTCAAACAGGATAGGTTATGTGCTAAATGCAAAATATTTTAGCACAAAACCCAGGTAGTTACAGCTGGCAAAGTAGTCTGATGACCAACTTTTTAAAAACTCCTGTCTATTCTGTAGACATAAGTCTGGGAGAGTTCTTTTTTCTATGACTATGAATTTAATAAATAAGTAAATACTCTCACACTCTCTATCATCAATTGGTGACATCCATACTGATTGCATTTTTTAAATATGATTTTATTAAACTTTAAAAACACCACAGTTAACATTTCTTTAAAAGGCTTAACTATTAATTTGTTTTACACACACACACACAGACACACACACACACTAAATAGCACTATAATTGTGTGGACTATATTACTATGATTAAGAGGCTAGATGCTTTTAAAAATAAACTCAGCCTATTATATATATAGAAAGAACTGTATAGATGAAAGAAGGGGAAGGAAAACACCTAGGGAGGGGGAAAAAAACCCAAAAGACAAAACCACCCCAGGAAATAGAAATAAAACTAACTAAAACTAAACAAAACCCCTATAATTCAGATAAATAGATTGATGATTCCGTTTTTAAACAACAAATTAAAATTAGACCATGTATGGAATCCTTTTTTCCAGTTTTGCCTTTCCCTTTGATACAAAGTGCATTTGAACCCAGTGCTTTGACAAATTTCTTTCAAACAGCTTTTTTAATCTGGGACACAAGTATTCTTCCATGAGTATTCTTCCATAATTGCCTTTTTCACAACAGTCCAAGAGCAATCTATTTAAAGTTGTTCATAAATTGAAAAATTCTGGATTTGGGGAATATACTCGAATAAAATATTAACCCCCTTAACTACCTCCAAGAACCTGGTTCACCATAGCAATAACATCTAACCATTAAGAAATTATAAGTGGAGACACACATAATATATGTACCAAAGTTCCTTCAAATGTCTTTATATCTTCAGCACAGAAAGCATGAAAGCCAACTTTTGAAAACATTCTTTGAGGGATCAGCAGACCCCCCCCCCCAAAAAAAGGAGTTTTGCTGAAGTAAAGAAGTTTGTAGATCATAAGAAATGTATTTAATGGTCCTAAAAGCCTGAAGCTCTAAACTGAGCAATTTAAATATTGTTCGTTTTCTATTCCAAATTCCTTGTATATTTTCCAAATTTATTTTGATTTGTTTTTAAATAGTAATAATAAATTGTTGATTTAGTTTCCATAAAGGCCTTCTCTGATACACTCAGAACCCCTGAAGAGGTACAAGGGCGTTGGGACCGAACATTGTACTTAACAATTCTTTTAAATCTATATATTGCTGTTCAGTCTTTCTAGGTATTTCTTTTGTAATATCTCAAATGTTTTTAAAGTATCATTATTTTATATTCACTTAAGAGTAATGATCCCATTATCAACCCTTCCAATCCCCCTCCCAAAAAGTTTCCTTTTTTTAAAGAACTGCTCCAAGTGTCAATTTCTCATGAGAGAAGGAAAAAAACATATTTAAATTTTCTGCTGGAAAAGTAGCTGTGTTTTTACTGTAATTAGAACAAAGAACTTGTCAGGATTACAGTGATACTAAACAATAGCTTTCAAACTGAGCCCACAATGGTAAATAGCCAATAATGTTTTCATCCTAATACATAATTGCCATTAATAGATAATCCCAGTGATATTGTTGAAAATTAGGAAAAGTAAAGTCACTGTCATCATAACTAACAAATAGATCTTCCATAAAATTTAACCATTGATGTACGCATCTGTATCAAATATTTGAGAGGGACTAAAATACAAATCAGTCTTGATACAAAATTCATTTGCCTAATATTAATTCCTCCCCACAAACTTAAGGATATTTTCATCTGCCTCTGAATATCCTCCTTCATCTGGATGATGACATTTTGAAATGTTCTTATCTACTAAACTAGATAGTAATCTCCAACTTATACATTTGACTGTATTCTATATTTTTTGATGTTTCTCATTATTTGGGCATATGCATTATATTCTTGCATGGATTTGTTTCTTCTCTCTAAACTATCTAGTCACTGACATGCAGATAGTCAACCCCCCACCCCAGAAACTCATGCAACCCCCCTGTTTAGGTGAGTATTTTATGCATAGGCTTAAATAGACACTTAGCCCATGAACTCCTTTTAAAAAAAAAAAATGGTGCTTTCAAGTCAGTTTTTTTGACTGCTGGTGACTGCCTGGACAAGTTCCTGCAGTTTTCTTGGCAAGATTTTGGAAGTAGTTTGCCCTGGCCTGCTTCCTAGGGCTGAGAGAGCAAGTGGCCCAAGGTCAATCCCTCTCTGGCTTTGTGCCTAAGGTGGGACTAGAACACCCCTGGTTTCTAGCCTGATGCCTTCACCACTACACCGAACTGGCTCTCTGAAGCTACAACAAATTGAACTCCTTAAGCTACAATAAATTGGCCAGTTATTATTAAGTCCCAAACAAAGCTAAATTCTCACAAAGTCTAATTAATCAGCCTTATTGAAAGGAAAAAGGAATTAAGTCACGAAGTCTTGGAAACTAAATACCTGTGCGCTTTAGTCTCCCCCACCCCCAATCCCTGAGTGCATTAAGGTGGGTCCTCCTTGATGCCTTTGTTCCTCTACCTGTCTCTTGATTTAAGGGGGAGCTGGAGAGCCATTTGGAAGATACAAATGGAATATCCACCCGTGCCCATTTTGCCCTGTATTGCAAAAGTATCACCTCATCCCCAGGCTCAGAGAATTCCATGAGGAGGCCATACGACTTGCTAAGTTACTTCTACGGATGAGCGTGACCTCACTCTTCCAAATTTCTAAGCCATGGTGGCTCCACCTAATGAGAAGGGCCGATAGGTCCCCGTCGTGTAGAAATCATCACCTTTCCCCTCATGTCTCAATTTGCAGGGCAGTGAATGAAACCAACCGGGTGATCAGTGACGAAAGCCAGGCCAAAGAGAACGCGGAGGAGAAGGTTAAGGTACCATTGGCAGAAGAGATGGAGAGCAGCCCGAAGAGACTGGTGGACTTTTCCCACAAGAACGAAGCTGCCATCTGTATCGCTGCTGCTGCTGCTGCTGCTGCTGATAATAAATCACTCCCAGAGATGGCAGAGGTCAAAAGTGAATGAGCACCTGGTGTGATTTCAGACAACCTACTTGAACAGTGATAAATGGGGAGGGGGCGGGGAGGGGGACAAGGAAGAATCAAAGCTGCTTTTAGGACTGAATGATCTATTTTCAAAGCACTGGTACCTGTATGTGTGTGTGCGCGTGTGTGCGTGTGTGTACATAGATTAAATTTATTTAATTGAGGATGGTGGAATACATGGCTCCATGACACCCGCACGACTCTTCTGGATCTTGACAATGGGAAGTTACGGTCATTTAGACTTTCAAGAAGCAAATTCCCAGACGCGTCTTGCATTTTGCCTTTGCGCTCCGCCATGGAGACTTTTGGATTCTTTCGACGATGGAAGCGTCCCGAGGATGGAAGAGTGCAGGGGACACCCTTCAGCGCCCGACTTTGGGGCGCTTTTTTTTTCTAGTTTTAATATACATATTATGCTTTTCCAGAGTGACAAAAAAAGAAAAAAGAAAAAAAGAAAGTTAAAAACTGCTTTTGCTTAAAACAGTCACCTGTTTCCTAGTACCTCAGAATTAACCAAGGGAAATTAAAAAACAAAACAAAACAAATCTCTGCATTTGTGAGTACTACCTGTTGTCATTGTGGTTAAATATAGAGAGAGAGACAGACTGCTGGGCAAGATGGTGAATGGAAGAAAAACCACAAAGTTTTAAAAGAAAGGAAAACAAAATTGTGCTCAAAAATCCCTGTGGGGGTTTTATTTCTTAAAATACTGTGATTTTTTTAATTATTTTAGTAAAAAAACAAAACAAAAAAGAGAGAATTCCTAGATATCTGTCTGTGACTTTGTCATCTTTTATTCCAGGTAAGCTTGTTTGTTAGCGTTCAGCTATGATTTTAGGGCGTTGGGTTGGTCGGTCGGTTGGTTGGTTGGGCTTTTCTTTTCTTTTTTTTTAAGACTCATGTGATTGACTCTGTGCCGTTCTTGTTTGCCCCATGTCTACGTCAGCTCAGCCTGAGGGATTACAAATACAGCACAATTAATTTTTTTCCATGTAAAGTAATGTTATTTCCCCCACATTTCTCCTTTTCTCACCCAATGAGATAGGGCTGGGAAGGAGAAGTAGTTCTTGTGAATATATTATTATTATTATTATTATTATTA